GCCCCACAACCGCCTCTCTCTTCCGACTGACGACCACTGCCGCCTCCGATGTAGCACCCGCGGATCTCTTCCAGCCACCCTGCTTCTCGTCCCTGCGTACGATTATGCGTATAGTGCTGCTACTGATGCTCGGCGCCTTTAACCTCCGAGCCATGCAACCTGCCTTGCACCGGTGTTGTTCGCCGGTGCGGTCGCTCTTATCGACGGAGGGTTATCCTGTAGGGTTGCATGTTTAGAACTACCGAGCATTGAATGTGATTAATATGTAATCCGTGTAAAAATTGTAATAGATTATCACGTTAAGCGCCACGAAAATCTTAAGCGTTTTCCCATAGAGTTTGTATTTTGTAGCAAAGAAAAGTAGGAATACTTATGAATTGTTTGGCGTTGCAACGGTTGCGTTACACTATTATCAACTTAGTTGCCTTATTAAACATTTTTATTTCACATCGATTGTCTTGTATGTTACGATTGTTTTTTAGTCATTTAGAAGCGTCAGTCACCAGTGGCTGACATGGCGCTTAACGTGTTATTGTCACTTTTTTTAGATGTTCATTATAGTATTCGAATGTATTTATTTTCAAGATCATTTCTATTATTGAATCCTAAGATATTAGTAATTGCGAGAAAGATCAAAACCAGTCATTTTGACTGGTACGGTAGTTCTAGTGTTAAATTGTCTGCAGAAACTGAAATGGTGTAATCATTGAGGCTTCTGTTGGTTTACAATTCAGTTTCTGTATTGATAAATTAGTTTCTGTGGTACTTTGTCAGGGAAGCATGTTATCTGTTGAATAATTAGGAAAAATGTGGACAGTCGGTAGTTCTAATGTTAGCACATTGTATGATATATTTTGAAACAACAATCAAGAGATTTGTGACTTGAAAAGAATTTTTATTTTGGATTCTGTTATACATATCTGAAACGTTACATTAACGTAGGACTAGCGATTAGACGATAGACTAAAAATCCCGCATTATCGCCGGGCCGGCGCACAATGTCAACACGTCCGTTACCAGTGTCATGTTGATGACAATCGACGTTCCATGTCCTGTGCAAAGAAAAGGAAATTACATTTAGTGTTCGTATCTTGCAACCAATGGCACAATGAGAAGGTTAAAAATATTTGTATTTTGTAAAGACATGTTTTATTTAATTAAATATTGTAATCACGGCTATTGACTGGTAACGAATGTGTCAAGGTACCATCAGTCTTCTGTTACCAGTCGTTGGGAACTGAAGGTTTCATGTGTACAATGCTTTTGGTTCTAGGAAGGAAAGGGATGAATGGAAAATTGCAAGAATCTTGATTAAAGCTTCTGTGATGGAGACTGAACGTCCACCAGGTACAAGGGAACCGAGCAGGTGCGTTCAGACCCCTTTCCATTGGCCCCCGTTGCCCTGACAACTGCGAATCCAATGATAAACAACAGTCAGCGTCCCCAGGCATGTTTCATCAAGCATTCAGTCGCGACAAAGGAAATGATCAACATCTGTCATCCGAAGATCATCGGGAAACCACCTGCCAAGGAAACCTACTCGGCCAAACGCCTAGACAGGAAGGATGTCCTGGAAGAAAATGACAAAATGGAAACGCGGAGAACGGATCACAACCGTAACGTCATTGAGTCGGGTGTATCCTTCGAGCAACTCTGCGAAATGATCAGTGGCATCGAGGAGAGTATCACTAATGATGGACTGCAGGTTTGGAATCATTCAACGCTTCAGCTTCTGGGAACGAGGACTTTAGCACGTTCACAAAATGACATTGTCATGAATTTAATTTTTTTAAATCATACACTTTAATCCTTGGAGTGCATTTGCAATTTTTCTATTTTTGAGGGTCATTACAATTTTTAGTTTCTGTGAACGTGTTGACCCCAAGAGGAATTTGTAGGTTACAGTGAACTCCAGGTAGGGAAAGTGTTAAAAAGATTGTCCTGTTTCTAGCTGGAGCCGGAGAAAGACGCCTCTGGGCTGAGAGGATCCACCGGAACCACCTGCGAGGATATAATGTCCTTTTTGGCGAAGCTCGAAGAAGGTAGCTGAGTGACGCGTGATATTTAACGTCTTCTTTCGATCTTTTCGTTTCGACCATCGCTCGGTTGTACACCGTAGGTACTCTGGACGAAACGAAGGCGATACCGGAAGTGGACACCGAAATGCTTCAGCAGATATTCGACAAATCGCGGCCGTTCGGTTGTGGCGATTGCAATAGGTAAATAATTGTTTGATGATTGTTGTTTCTTTGGTGAACGAGGAACTGTCTGCTCATCGTTGCCAGGTTCTCAGGTTAACAATGGCCCCAGTGAAAGTCAGCAATCCCATGTTTGAGGAGGATCTGTCCACTGCTCGGTTGCAGCTTGAGGAGCTAAACGCAACAATTGCACTGTTGAAGGAGCAGCTGAAGTCTGAGAGGAAGCTTGTCTGCGAGAAGCTTGATTCTCAGAGGAAAAGTGGCATGGCGAAGCTGCAGGCACAGGAGGAGAAATACAAGGCTATTGTGAAGAGGCATCAGAAGTTTATAGAACAATTGATTGCGGAGAAGACTGAGTTGACAGAGAAGTGCAACTGCCTGGCGCAGAGAGTGAAGTGCATTGAAGGCAGAATGCAGCGGGACTTGAGGGCAGCAGCTGATAGACATACGGTGGAGCTGCAGAGGGCCAAGGAACATTATGCTGCTGCTGAGAAGATCAAGAGGGAGAGGTGGATTGAAGCCAGAACCACGAAGATCAAGGTTTCTTCTTTGATTTCTTCTTACTTTTTGATGTTCATCGAGGAACAAGTTGAAAGCTTCTGTTGTAATCATGCTGGGTCCTATGTGGCTTAAGGAGATGACCGTGAAGGGACTAGAGCCAGAATTGAGGAAGATGATGGAGCAACACTCAGAGGAGATCCAGAACCTGAGGAACCTTCACATGAAGGAATTGCAGGACACAGAGTTGAGGGTGATTCGCAGGTCCAACCAGCAATTGGAACAGCTGCGATTGGAATTGACAAGCAGTCATGAGAGGATGGTGGCGAACGAGAAGAGTATCTTGTGGGCTAGGTACAAAACTAATTCTAGCAGATTCTCTAGGAAAGAACGAGGAGAACGAGTCGTTTTCATTTTAATTTATCTTTCAGGTACAAGGAGAAACTGGACGAGCAAGAGAGTCGGTTCAAAGATCAGCAGCTGAAGCTGATGGAAGAGCTGCAAGCGGAGCGAGAAAGGTTCACCAAGGAACAAGCTAGACTGGTTGCTGAGAATGAAACCAAGTTCCATAGGTTGCATCAGCAGTGTCAGGTAATTTGTTTGATCAATTATTTATTGAAATCTGGTAAGACTACAGGGAATATTTCAGGAAGAGGCGCAGGCCCTGAAGCAACAGTACATAAACGAGAAGAAGGCTCTGGAGGAGTCTTTGAAGGCAGAATGGGAGGCTTGGATGGCTGACTATAAGAAGCAGCAATCATTGAAGATGGAGAGAGCCGAGGGTGTCATTAGGGACGAATGCAATAGGGAAAGGGATAGACAGATAGAGCTGGCTATTCAGCGTCTCGAGAAGGACTCCCGGGAGGCGAAACTGAGTCTTCAGGAACATCTTGATTGCAAGCTCAGGTGAAGTCGAATGAATTCTAGATCCGGAATGGACCTCTGATGATTTCAATTTCAGGTCTTTGCAAGAGAGGTTCAACACAGATGTGCAAACCGCGGTCGACAAGGAACAGCTGTGCAGGGTTCAGATGACGCAGTGCAAGGATAAGCTGGAGAGGACGGAGACTAGATTGCAGAAAATAGAGGAAAGGCTGCAAGAGTGTACAAACGAGTTGAACAGCGCGAACGAGGTAGCCATTTTTCAGTGAATTATTGTGTTATTCTTAATGAAGAGTATTAGGGATTGTTGGAGATAAATGGAATTGTACTTAGGTGGCGAGGAAGTTGAGTTTGGAGAGGGACAATGCGAAACAGTTAGCCAGACAGGATATAGAAGGAGAGAAAAGGGAGTTGGAGGAGAAGATCGCATCGCTTTACCAGGAAATCGCTCAGAGCAATGCGAACAGGGACGCTTCGATGGCTCAGCTGCATAGCAGGTTCAGTTTTAATTTAAATGAGTAGAACATCATGTTCGCTATCAGTGTCACATGTTTGTGACGGTCGCAATCCTGTATTTTATATAAAGAAAATGAAATTAATCAGATATAGTTAGTTAAAGTTATAAGCTACTAGTTTAGAGGATTGAATTGAATAAAATATGATCATTATAATTGAGAGAATTGTATAATATATAATATTATAAAATATAATTGAGGATCGCCACTGAAACAAACGATGGTAGCGAACGTGATA